TCTCTAGCACCATGTCTCAAAGGCATCAACTCTCGTTCTATCATCCCTAGTTATTGTCCAGCTCTCTGATGCATAGCAAGTAATGGCAAAGACCATGGCCTGTATCAGGCACACCTTAATCTCCAGACTGACATCATTGCTAAAGGATAAAACAATGACATGTATACGTCCTAATTTTAAAACATGCAGGCTATCATTGTTTTGTGAGAATCACTATCTCTTGGCTGAGATACAGGTTTCCCGGGAGCACAATTAAGTATACTAGAGTTTCTATTCTAATATTATTCCTAAATTTTTGTGATCTCCAAAGTCAAATGCTTTGCATAGTCAATAAACATCTTTCTGTTGTTCTCTGATTTCAGCCAGTGTCCTTCTGATGTCAACAATGATATTTCTCATTCCACTTCCTATATTCCGGATATGGCTTGGATTTCTGACTATTCTCTGTCATTCTATTGTTGTGGATTTTCTTTTCAGTGGGTACTTATATAGATCTCTTCCAATTTCTTGGCCAAGTAGGTGTCTTTCATATTTCTTGCCGTAGACAAATGACCACTGGAAGATTGCATCTGTTGTCAAAATATCCCAATGGATATTTCTTCCATTCCCAAAGCCTTGGCTTTTTGAACTTTGCTTTTAGTGTTGCTTGTATTTCTTCCTTGTCATGCCATTGGTTCTTTGTTTTTTTAAATTTAATTTTTTTTCTTTTTATAAAAAATAATTTTAATGAGCATTTACAGAGATTTTGGATTTCCATTCATTCATTGCTGCACTTCTCTCCCAGCCCAGCCCTCCCCCTCCCAGTTCGCTCCTCTCTTTCAAAAGTAAAAGAAACACTCCTTCCTTGGTACACAATCCCCATGCATCCCTCCCACCGCCCCAAGTACATTCCACTATGCAATCTTAATTGTGGACTCTTGTGATAACCATAATACCCTATCATACATGGCTTTTAAATTATTCACTCCCTCATCTGTTTCAGTGCAGTATACACAATTTATCCAGTTTTTCTCAGTCTTACCCCAACCCTGATATCAGTCCCATTTTACAACAGTGGCACCATGCAATATTTGTCCTTTTGCGACTGAGATATTTCACTCAGCATAATGTCCTGCCATTGGTTCTTGATTGTATGATTCCCTCCAGATACAATTGAATGCCGACCAAGATTTTATTTTAATTTTTTCAATTTTATTTTTTTAATAAATTGTCATTTTAACAAAAGTTTACAGAAAAGTTAGATTTTCATTCATTCATTGTTGCATATTTTACCCCTCTCCCTCCCTTCCCCCCGCCCCAAGCTGACTTTTTTCCCCACTAGTTTATTTATAAAATTCTAATATAAGTTGAACTGTGACAGTGATGTGCCAAATGTGGTAGTGGCCACCCATGGTGGACAGTGTTTGCTGGAGCTTTCCGACTAAAACAAGCCTAGAAACAGGAGCGGCATCCACTTCCGAAATGGCGTGCCTCCAGAAACTCTGTGTATGAACAAACAGTGCTCAGGCCTTTCGTTCATAGGGTCGCTATGAGTCGTCTACGACTCCACAGTAACAACAACAATGTAAGTTAGAACAAATTCTTTCCATATCCATTTCCCTCACCCCCCTACCCATCAAATTGTACAATCCAATGATTAATACCCTCTTCTCCCTGCACATCCACATCCCTCTGCTTCCAGCCTCTCCCACCCCTCCTGGATCCTTATACTCCTTCTACAATTACGGTCTTATACAATATTTATCCTTGTGGGACTGAGTTCATTCACTCAACATATGACCAAAATTTTTTTAGCATGTGACTCTGTGTATCTTCTGATGCTTCCCACGTCATTCAATGTTTTGCCCAAAGAATAGCTACCATAGAATAATACTAAAAATTAGAGCTTGGATTTACTTTTTTCTTCTTCTTCTTCAGTTCTTTCAGTTTGGGATATACTGAGTTTCTATTAATCCCTTTTTATTTTCTAACTCTAATCCTTTACATTTCGCATTATCTTCTTTTGTCTTCTAGAGCTGCACTTTGAAATCTTCTGTTCTCCTCTTTTATGTCATCGTTCCTGCATTTGCTTTAGCCTCACTTTGTTCAAGAGCAAGTTTCAGAGTCTCTACTGATACTGTTTCATCTAAGCGACCATTGGCTTTCATCATAGGTACATAACAACAAACAACCGTGTCCTTGATGCCATCTTACAACTCACCTGTTTTTGGGATCATTAGTCTTCAGTGTGTCCAGTTTGTTCTTGATGAGGTCTCTAAACTCAGATAGGATATACTCAGGCTTTGTACTTTGGCTGTCATGGACTTGTTTTCATTTTCTTCAGTGTCATTTTGAAATCATGTATGCACACGTGATAATCAGTTCTACAGCTGCCTCCTTGCTGCATTGTGACTGAAGATATTGAGTTTCATCATCTGTTTTCACAGATATAACTTATCTGACTCCTGTGTTTTCCTTATGACAAAATTCACATGTACAGATATAAATGTATGTTGTTGGGAACAAAGTACTTCTAAATAATAGTTCCTGAGTTTACCAAGGTCTGTCATGTGCTCTTTAGCTGTGGTTTCTGTTCTCAAGGGCATATTTTTTTAACTACTGATCCTTCTCTGTCTACTGTAAATATTCCATTTCCAAGTAATTGTCAGTGCATCTCGATTATATTTTTTAATTTCAGAGTGCAGAAGTTGGTAGCAATCTCCAATTGACATTCACGGCTGGTGCAGAAATTTGAATAATAGTAATATTAACTTGTCTTCCTTGTAGGTGTATAGATATTATCCTATCACTGACAGTGTTATACTTCAAGTTACATCTTGAAATGTTCTTTTTGACAATGAACCCAATATCATTCCTCTTCGATTTGTCGTTCTCAACGTAACAGATTGTTTGATTTTTCGATTCAACAGTTAATAGCAGTCCATTTCAGCTTACTAATGCCTAAGGTATATGTCTTTGAGTATTCAATTTCATTTTTGATAGCTTCAAATTTGCCTAGATAAATGCTTCATACAGTCTATATTCCGAATATTAATAAAGGGAGTACTAGTGGCCTCTTGGGTGAAGAGTCACACTGCTAACCCAAAGGCACTCAGTTCAAATCCACTAGCTGCTCCTCTGGAGATAGAGTAACCGCCTCCCCTGATTTACAGTCTCTGAGCCCCACTGGAGGGTCAGCTGTGGGTCAGTTCTGACTTGATGGCACATGACAATGACAACAATTACTAATAGCTATTTGCAGCTATGCCTTCCCATCTTGATTGATGCTAAATCAGCAAATGAAGGTCCAAAACCATGACCCCATCCATGTCTTCAAAGTTAACCATGGTGGTAAGAATCTGAGCTGCAATCCTGAAGGCACATGGTTCAAATCCACCAGCAGCTCCATGGGAGAAAGGTGGGCAGTCTCCTTCCATGCAATTAACTGCCTCTGAAAACCTGCTGGAGGATCTGCTGTGGGTCAATTCCAACTCTATGGTACATAACAACAATATACTTTAAAGAGAAAGTTCTGGTGCCTAGGGGTGAGAAATTGTGCTGCCAACCCAAAGACATTCAGTTTGAATCCACCAGAAATACTGAGAGAAATACGGACAGCTTCCTCCTGTGTGACTTAATGCCTCTGAAAACTCCCTAGAGGGTCAGCTACGAGTTATATCTGACCCAACAACACATAACAAGAACGGTGACATGCTCTGAAGGGACAGGTCTTCCCCCAGCCATATTTGGAGGGGCTTCCATTCTGAGGACCTCATCTTTTCAGCACAGTATCCAACAAGACTCTACAGTCATTCCTAATGTTTTCAGTAGCCTGATTGTGTTTATTTGTTTGTTCTTCTAGTAGATTGCTAGATCTTTCTCCCTGTTCTGTCTATTCTGAACCCTGTCCACCATGGGCAACTCTGCTAGTGTTTGAAATACCGGTGACATAAATGCCTCGATCCCGGCAGCTCAGCCGCATGCAGGAAACCACAGTATAACAGAGCGGCAGATGCGCGGTGGGGAAAAACTTTCCATACGTTATTTACATATTTATTTAACAGACAAGAAAGCTGAGGGTCAGAGAGACTGAGTATCCCCAGAGATTGTCTACCCCCAGTCACGATGCTTAGATGAAGCAATATTGGGATTAGGATGAGCACTGACCAGCTTTGTGAACCATGTTTCTCACCCCAACACTTAGAACAACATCATTTTAACCAGGGACTTGAGCCGATTCATTCCAGTTTAACCTTTTCTTGAGAATTTACATTTCCACCCCAAATACACTGAACCAGAAGGCACATTTTATCAGGCTCCCTAGATCTTGCAAAAACTTGGCTGTAATACACACGATGCCTTCATCCTCCACAGCGTGTAGCACTGTGCTCGTTTGCCAGCCGAAGAGACTCTGAATATCTACTCAGTGTGTCTGTGGAGCTTATTGTATGTCCACAACTTCTTCTTTAGCAGCTCTTTCTCTGTGGTTTTTATTTCCTTTCCATGAGCCATGTTCTTGCCATGACTCAGCCTTGTGAGAGACTTTCCAAGCAAGGAGACAGAGACTGGAGTCATTGGGTCTTAGTGTTGGGATTCTCTGTCATTGCTGTGCTGCCTTTATTATTGTTGTCATTTGTTTTGTGGTGGCTCTCCTTTGTTTGTGGCTTAAAGATTACTCCTTAAAAATTACGTCCTTCTAGTTGGGCTTATAGAGCTCAAGACTCCTTCTCTCTTCTCCTCTCTCCTCTGTCCTCTCCTTTTTCTTTTTCTCCTTTTTCTTTCTCTTTTCTTCTTCTTCTTCTTCTCCTCCTCCTCCTCCTCCTCCTTCTTTTCTCTCTCTCTCTCTCCCCCTTTCCCTCTTCTTTTTCATCTCCCTTTCTTCACCCAAGTATGTAATTTACGTGTGTGTGTGTGTGTGTGTGTGTGTGTTTGCCTGTGTAATCAGTTTGCCATCATGCGTGGAGTACTAGCTAGATGCCAGGGCCACATGAGGAAAATGCTAATCCCTTTCTCTCACGTAGATGATTACAAGTCCGAACTGAGGGAGCAGCTGCCCCTGATTGCTGGATCGGCCGCCGCGGGGGTGGTCTTTGTGGTGTCCCTGGTGGCCATCTCCATAGTCTGCAGCAGGTAGGCCCCCTCAGCTTCTGCTCGCTCTCCTTGGACACAGGAACTCCCTCTTCACACGCAGCCCCTCAGTGGCAGGAACTGACCACTCGCCACCATGCTGCAGGATTCACCATGGTTACGCCATCTCAATCTGTGGGCAGGCTGGAATTTTCCAGATTACCTCCTTTCTCTGCGCCTGGTGTAACAGTCCTCAGTGAGAGCTGAGCAAGGCTTTGAGTAAATAGCGTCCACCCTCAGACCTCGTTTCAGCCCAGAATTTTAGCCTCCCTCACATGACGGGCTTTAGAGAGTGACAGTTACAAAATTGCCTCTCACCGCTGGCAGGTCACACCCTCTACCTCAGCCTGTCCCCTGGTTAGAGAGCTAAGACCCTCAGCAGAAGGCCAGGGGCTGATGAAATGCTGAGAAGAAACAGAGAACGCAGGATTCTCCAGAAGGCCTGGTGAATTTTTAATACTCTTGCTACTGCCTTTGGCAGTTGGCAGATTCAGCTGAGCAAAGCCCTGTAGTTGGTTGTCCCCTGAGCAATCCCAGAATGCAGCTGAGCTCAGATAAGCATCCTCATCATCCCCGGCCCCACATTCCCCCAGTCGGGACCTGGGTCCTGGTGGGGGTCCCAGTCCTGCTGTGACCTGAGGCCGGCCTGGCTGCCTGTAGGAGTGGATGGTGCTCAAGCTGGGACCTTGATCACAGCAGGAGTGATTTTAACAGGAGTTCTGCTTGGTCCCCAAGCTAAGGGGAGGCTTTGGAGAAAGCACCCCTCTGGGTAGGTCCCTGGGGTAGGGCATTGAGGACACTGGTACTGAGAAAGCGTTTCTTCTCTGTTTCCACAGAAAACGTGCCTACAGCAAAGAGGCTGTGTACAGTGACAAGCTCCAGCATTACAGCACCGGCCGAGGTGAGTGGAGGCAGATCCCACTGCCAGACCCCAAAAGACCACTGAGCCAAGCTGGCAAGTGGGTGGAATGTTCCTTCTAGACTGGCTGGTCCTCAGCTTCCTGCCTTTAGGGAAGAAGCGAAGCCTCTCTGCAGGTCCCTTGAGACCACAGACAGCCTGCCCCATCTGCTGTCTGCCTGCTGCCAGGGCACACCTTGGCTACCTGGTGGACAGATTATCGTCTGCATTGATAAGCCTGTATAGGACACTGAATGCAGGAAAAAAGATTGAGTTTCGCAAGTCAATAAATCCTGAAGTCAGGCTCAGTGGGGAAGGGTGGAGGGGGGTTCTCTATTAAACATTCTCCCTTATCTTTTCAAACTGAGCAGCTGGGGAAGGTGTTAACCAAATTCACAGATAAGCCATAGAACAGGGATGCAGGGAATGAAAAAGATAGCAGAGCCCAAGAGGCCAGAGTGTGGGGATATCTCCCAAGTGTTTTCCATAAGCAGTACCTTAAAATCTTATTTCCCAAGCCATTATCTTGTGCCTCTAGTTCTCGGAGCCTTTCCACAACGTAAACAAAAACTTATCCTCACCAATATGAGAGAAATCCTGTGTCTAAACATCTGTAGAGTCCCAGCATCGCAGAATTTTTTTTTTTAAAAAAAAATAATACCCACTAGGTCAGTTGGACCTCTTTCTCTCCTCCAGAGAGTAGCGGTCTCACATGCCGACACCAGAGACGTTCCGTTTCAGAAGAGCGCTGTTTGAATCCTCCAGATATGTTCAGAAATCTGCCCCAGAGCTTTGTGTTAGGCTCAGTCACAGAATTCCTGCAGAAGCCCCATTGAGCCTAAATCCCTCCTATTGTAAAATAAGCCTTTTTCTTCTTCCTTGGGCACCTGTGGACAGGGATATAGATCTCTCTCACTACACACACACACACACACACACACACACACACACACACTCTGCATACTTTCAAATGGAAGTGAGGACACACTCAAATGTGGACCTTCTCCTAGACTGAAGTTCAGTTTGCTCTCCGCATCTCCCCTGAGGTAGGAATGGAAGGCTGATCACTGGCTGCAGTGAATACCCTGTGAACGAACCCCGTTCCAGGAGGGCAGGCTGATGTGGGCCTGGGCTGAATCATGGGCGTTCTAACCTCAGAAGTATTTCAGTCCAACATGAGAAGTGGCTCAGGGTTTGTGGACGGCTGAGCTCCTAGCAGCAAGGCTAGTGTGAGGGCGGTCTCTGCTGAGATGGACGCATGGCCATGGAGCTGCGCTGGGACACACTTGCTCATCCCCCATAGCCCAGGGGACCAGCTGTGAGCAGCAGTCCCTCTCACCGGGGCCACATGCACAGCTCTTGCCCACTACCCCATGTTTACCTCTGTCCCTTTCCTGTCCTGAGCTTCGGTCTTAGCCTGATGTCAGTTGTCCTCCTCTGCCTTCCTCATCCTGACAGGAAGGCTCACTTCTTCATCTATACCGTCTCTTACTTAATGTTGACCTGAGCGTCAACCTCTCCTGACAGGCTGTGAGATTCCTAGCGGGGAAGCAAGGTCTTACTCCTGCCTGTGGTCTTCATGGGAGGATGTGCCCGCCATTGACACCAGAATCACCCTAAGGGTTTTGCCATCTCCCTGCTTTCTGCTTCTTCCTCAAAATGCTGACATTGTTGCCCCTTTACTTCTCTAGAGGGCGCTCTGGAGGCCTAGTGGGTCAGGAATTGTGCTGCCAACACAAAGATTGTTGGCATGTGTACCGTTCGTTCAGTTAGAACCGACCCATAACTGACTGTCTGCTGGGTTTTTCAGAGGCAGTTATTCGCATGGGAGGAGACTGCCCACCCTTCTCCCATGGAGCAGCTGGTGGATTCACACCACGTGTCATTGGTATTACAGCGCAACTTCTTGAGTCTAGGCCACCAGTGCTCCCAGCATAAAGGTACACGGTTCAAACCCTCCTGCTATTAGGAGGAAGAAAGATGGGAAGTCTTATCCCATGTGGTTTACAGTGTCTGAAATCCCACTAGATGTTTCTGATAGAATGGCAATGAGAGAGAGACAGAAATGAAGAGATACTTCGCCAGGGTGACTCTTAGCCATGTAAGGCCATTCTGGATCAGACATCATTATGCCCTTTGCATCATCAAGACAGCTAGAAGGCAGAGTCAGGTCCACAGGGCCACAGAATTTGGCTTCAACTAGGAATTAACATTGTAAAGCCCAGAGACGCCCAATGGCAGGCATGGGACGCTTGGTTCAGAAGCAGCCCTTACTAAAGACAGTCAGACTGAGTGTGGGCAACACCCCTCTTGTGGGCTCAGGGGGTCCGTAAGCATTGAGTGAGGGTGAAGCTTGATCTTCTTTGGCACCTTCACCCCAAGATCTGGCCATTCTCCTGCACTGACGTTGCTGGCTGTGCTGGGCCGCCCGTGGATTCACTGCACAGAGATGTACTTCCAAATGCTCACAGCCTCTGACTCAGCCTTCTGTTGATGACAGAGGAGGTTCCTGTTGTCTCAGGGGCAAAACCAACGCCTGGACTGTATGAGGGCAGCAACAGCAGCCTTGTTGCATGGGAGGTGGGGGTGGTGGGGGTGTCATGGAGTTATCACTGTTAAGCTGTGCAGATACCATCCTGTGATGGACACAGAGTTCCTCGCAGATAAGAGTTCCACCCCTCAGTGGATGCCCAAGAAGTCTGTTTTCTTTTTAAATATTTTTTAAATTTTAAATGTTTTTTTTTACACACCAAGATTCTATTTATATAAAGTTCTAGTTTCCATTACCGTCTTGTTCACTGCCAACTAGCAATGATTCAGTGGGGCAGGCTTGAGGAGTGACGAAAGGGTGTGTGAAATCTTTGGTGTAACGGATATTATCTTGAAGCCTCTCCTCTTTTGACTTCTCTTCTTTTTTTAAAATTCTTTAGCTTCCCTGCCATCCATAACAGTTTTCTTTTTATGTGAACCTGCTTCTTCTTTTCACCCAGCCATGCTAAATTCACAGGTTAACACATTGCATGGTGTTAATTCATTATCTCTGGTGGTCATCCATCATTCTGACTGAAGCTATTACTGTCGGAGAGTCACAGGAAAAGTAGTTTAGAACAGGGAAAGGTCCGCTACATATTCAGAGGAGACCCAGAGAGTTTTAAAGGAGGAAGGGATTGGCCCACCAGCAGTGGAATGAATGGTTTACCAGAAGCTTGCTGTGGGCTATGCATCGCAAGCTTAATTCCAGTCGTTTGCTTCAGTTCATCTAGCCTTCCAACCTCTCTAGGATGGTATCGTTAGTCTAGGTATTCATTAATCAAGTGACTTAGCATTTGTCATCCACATTTTAGAGACTGTGCCTCCTCTGATTCTTCCAACAGAGCTGTGATGCGGTTCTTACCACATTACAAAGCAAGACTCCAGGGCCCTTGTCATCAGGAGCACCACTGAGACTAATGTAAGGTGGCCTTATTCGTAGTTTGCTAATTCCCTCTACCCCAAGTCTCACTGTGAGAAGTAGAGCACCTCTGATCTGGACACATTCCCAAAACAGGGCCTGGGTCATCCCCCACTCTTGCTGCATTGTGGGATGCAGGTAGCAACCTGGATCCCTGAGGGCTTCTTGCCCAGGGAGTGACAGAAAGCTTGCAGATACATCCTAGCCCCATTGAATCAGTGCCCTAGAGAGCCTCCTCTGTACCATTTGGGCTGGGGGCACAGACTCTCCAGGGAAGCTAATGGTCCTTATCTCCAGGACCCTCCTTTCTAGCTGATTTGAAGGCTGAAGGACATTACATAGCAAGAATGGTGTAGACAGAATAGCCTTGACAAGGCTGTATAGGCCTGTTGTTGATTGCCGTCGAGTTGAGCACAACTCATAGCAACTATGAACAAAAGACCTAATGCCTTTGCATAGCTATCTTCATTTCTCCAAGTTCATAGAGTTTCCAGAGGCATGTGGTTTAGGAAGTGGATGCCACTCCTGATTCCAAACCCGATTTACAACTTGGAGCTCCACCAACTCTGTCTACATTGGGAAATCATTCTGGTGTTTGATACCTCAGTGGCACAAGGTTCAGCATCATAGCAAACCCCGCACATTGGCAAAGAGTGATTTACAAAGTGGAAGAGTCTTCCTCCAGATATAACAGCACTAGTCTCATTTGTTAAATATCGCCAAGACGAATATGACTTGAGATCAAGCTTTGCACAAAAGACCTGAAATCTTTTTCTATCACTAACATCATTTCTGTACATTACGAGAATTTAGAGAGTTTGTAGAGTATGTATAGACATAGTAGGTCTGAGAAGAATGGGAACCCCAGAACATTTGATTGCGCTAAAGCGAAACTTACACTTGGACCAAGAGGCAGTTGTCAGAAAAGAGCAAGGAAACACTACATGGTTTAAAATCAAGAAGGGGGTCCTCCAGGGATGTATTCTGTCTCCATACCTTTTCAATCTGTATGCAGAACAGATCATCTGAGATGCTGAGCTGTACGAGGAGGAATGTGGCATCAGAATTGGTGGAAGAATCATCAAGAACCCTCGTTTTGCAGATGACACAACCCTGCTTGCTGAAATTGAGGAAGCCCTGAAGCACTTGCTGCAGAAGATCAAGGACTGCAGCCTTCAATATGGATTGATGCTTAACATCAAGAAAATAAAGATTCTCACCATTGGACCAATTGGCAGCATCATTATGGATAGTGAAGAGATTGAGATAGTTAACAGTTTTAGTTTGCTTGGTTCCACAGTTAACATTCTTGGTACCAACAGCCAGAAAATCTGGAGACGAATTGCATTGGGAAAGTCAGCTGTGAGGGACCTCTCAAGAGTACTAAAGAGCAACAACGTCAGGCTGGAGACTAAGGTGTGCCTGATCTGGGCTATAGTCTTCACATTTACTTGCTATGCATCAGAAAGTTGGGCAGTAAATAGGGATGATAGAAAGAGAATTGATGCCTTTGAGCTGTGGTGTTGGAGAAGAGTGTTGAATATACCATGGA